TTCCGATCTGGGTTTAGGGGTTTAGGGGTTTAGGGGTTTAGGGGTGTAGGGGTTTAGGGGTTTAAAGGGCTTAAGGTTTAGGTTTTATGGTTTAGGGTTTGGGGTTTTAAGGTTTAGGGTTTAGGGGTTTAGGGTTTAGGTTTTGGGTTTAGAAAGGTTTAGGTGAGGGGTCTACCTGGACCCCACAAGTGTGTAGAATGACAGCCTGCTAAGGCATTGGGCCATTGTTTTACCTAGTTTCGGGGGTGTAGGTATGGCCCTAAACCCTAAACCCTAAATCCTAAACCCTAAACCCTAAACCCTAAACCCTAAACCCTACACCCTGCTTTAGAAACCCTGGCCCTAGAACTCCTACATACTAGGATTCATACACAAAGAGCCCTAATAAAGGCCCAGGGTTCCTTAACCAGGTTTCTATATTAGGTTTTTGGGTTTTAGGGGTTTAGGGTTTAGGGTTTAAGGGTTCAGGGTTTAGGGTTTAGGGTTCAGGGTTTAGGGTTTAGGGGTTTAGGGTTGGGGGGTTTGGTAGAGTCAGAGGGTGTAGGGTTGATAGGGCTTAGGCTGTACGGTTTGGGGTGTTCTGGGCTTAGACGTCACAGGGCTTTGGGACTGGGGGGTGTAGGGTGTAAGGTTTAGGGTCTGAATGGTTAGTAGGTACTATTAACTAGTATTGTAAGGTCGATTTGGGGTATTGCTTGGGGTATGGTTCAGGAATTAAATCTGTAATTAATTTGAGATCCAATCTGTCTTTCAAAGTGTCTTTGGTCATTCGGCATTTGCAATCTGTAATTGAATCTGAGTTTTAGTCGGACCAGGGTGGTCTGCTATTGCGCAGAAATCTGGGACACAATCTGTAAAATAATCTGACCAGGGTGCCCTGGGCACCGAAATCTGAGAATCAATCTGTAATCCAATCTGACCAGGATTCGCTGGGGGTCAGAAATCTGAGACGCAATCTGTAATTTTGTTGGACCGACGTGTGCAGGCGCTCAGTGCGGGTCGCGGGTAGCATGGATGAGTAGCAGTGAAACATTGGTTGGCTCATCTGTTGGAGTAAGCAGAGGCATCATGGGGTTGTGTGGCATGGCGTGCGCATGAACAGCATGCACATACTGCGGCGTCACAACAACTTTTCTTACAATGTTCACAATAGACTAGATTCCATAGACTTCCATACAGAAGCACCGACACGCAACGCAGTGGAAGCCATGAGTTTTCATCCGTCCTTGCAGACAGTCTGCGACGAGCTGTTTGAAGAAGATGTGCTTCTGTCTCAGCAGACAGATAGCGCAGATGCAATTCGCACACCCAGCGAATCCTCGGAATGTGAGCCTCATAGCAAAGGGTTGATGCCTCCTAGTCCTGGGGTTTGGTGGGCGAAGTTGATACGTGAGCACAGCCCACCGCAGCACGCGGGCACTGTGCCGGAGCGTCCTGTGACGATTCTGTCTGCGTGCACGGGAGCAGCAGCGGAAATCGCGGTGTTCAAGGCCGGGGTACTGCCGGGATTTATGAGTCAATAATATGCAGCAAAGCTAGAGCTAGAGTCACTATAGTCACTAGTCACTTGCAAGTCTAGAGCCTACTTTACTAAAGCCTAGATTCTGTAGTTCAGTGAGTGTAAGTCAAGAGTCAGTGAATGTAGTGATGTATGACCTGATGACCGTAATTGCTGTTTCGCCACTATCAGCTAGCAGCTAGCAGCTAGCAGCGGTATAGTAGTAGCAAGCAAGCACAGTCTAGGCGCACGAATGTTGAAGCACATCCGCAAGCACATGTTCTTGTCTGTACAAACCGAGAACAATAATACTGCCACGTTCTAGGATGTTACGACATTTCGATTGGCAGCGACTGCAACTGTCGCATGATTGCATGCTGAACCAGAAATATATCATTAGTTCGCAAGGTCCCACTAGGTTCACTAGGTCACTAGGTCCTGTATGATCATTCTCATTATCATCACCCAAGCAGGCTCTTGGTTTGCCGTTCACTATGATGAGCTGCTCAGATCCGAACGTGCAATGCCGGGAGTTTGTCAATGTGAACTACCCAGAACTGGTGCCTACACACTGGTTTCACAGTATCGAGGACCAGACAAACCATAGGCCTTGCTCGCTGCACCCCTATGCGGTAGATGGTTGCGATGCTTGCCCCACAGGGCGAGGCATGGCAGATTTTGCAATTGCCGGAAGTCCGTGTCATCCCTTCTCCCAGCAGCGAAGCCAGCGCTTCTCCCAGAAGTCAGTTGAGCAGCACGGTGAATACATGACAACAATGTCTAGCTTGCTTGAGTGGGCAAACCACTTCGAGCCCAAGTGCTGGGTGATGGAGCAAGTTCGTGGATTTGGCATGCCATTTGAGAAGCAGGGGACCGAGACACCTTTGACGAGGCACCGGGGGGAGGGTGACAGTTTGCAGCCAATTTCAGATCACCCGCACCGTCCGTTGAGTGGAGCAGCAGTAGCAAGGCAGCAAGTCCCATGCAGCATCACTTTGATCATGTCATTATTTGTTGGCTCAACAACTAGCAGCAGCTAGCAGCTAGCTGCAGCTAGCTAGCTAGCTGCTGCTTGGCTGCTAGCTGCTAGGTCCCCCTAGGTCGAAGTCTCGGTAGCTGATGGGTCCAGGCGCTAGGCCCCGCTAGGTGGTTGTGAGAGTATGAGCAATGCACCACCCCAGCCTGGCACACCTGTCGGCGAGATGCTAAGCAGAATCCCTCGTGTGCGGGTCACACCTGCTTCGTTGGCCGACCAAACCAGTGGGCCTTCTGAGATGGTGCTGCATGCGCAGGGCAGCACAAGAGCCACCTCAGGAACGGAGGCAGCGACTGGTGACAACCGCTCCTTGCAGAGCCAATCCTCGCGTAACGAGGTGGCCGGCACAGAAGAAGCAGCAGAGAAAATGGTGATCCTCCGGAGGAACAAGAAACGTGCTCGTCCCAGCCAAGCTCCGCACTTACGCACGGCGACCTCTACAAGTTTGCCTGACTCTGATGGGGTGGTTGCAGAGCCGACAACAGACCAGTTCGGGCCAAATTTTCCACTTTTAATGCCTGGGCCAAGGCCTGGGCCGATTCCCGAGCCAAGTGAGCGGAGTGGGCCGAGTGCTACTAACTCCGGACCCATCAACGATGACGGCTGGGAGTTGCTTGAAGCACACCCTACCCGCCCTACCCGTGCATGTGCGAAGATGCTGGTGCGGGCAGGACTTCGCTGTGCGTGTTGTTTCAGATTGAGACAGGACTGCCTTCAGAGAGCACGCTGAAAGAAGTTTGGACCACTTCCTCCTCTGCCCTCCTCCCCTCTCCCTCCTCCCTTGCCCCCCCCCTTCCTCCCTTCCATTGCCTTCCATGACCCACCAATTCCACCTTCGTCCCGTCACTTCCTCTTCTTCCCCTCCTGCCCTCTCCTCCATTTCTGCCGTTTCTGCTGCAGTGCAAGTCACAGTCAGAAGTCCAAATCTCGAGCTGCAGTCACAAGTCACATTGGCTGGCAGGTTCTTGGGGCAGATCGGCCGTGTGCCGTTCTCCCGTGGTGGTTACTGGTTCCTGAAGTTCGAGTTCTGCACGAGCGACTGGATCCAGATGACGCGGCCGAGGACACCGTCCCTTGCAGCCGTTGCAGTTTTGTGGTTTTGTGTACAGGAGTGTAGCGCAGTCATGGTCAGTTCTGTGGGTAGACTCTAGACTCTAGACTCTAGACTCTACCCGGACCCAGCCTCTAGACTCCGCACAATTCCAGGGTCTGTGCAGCTTCCAAGCCTGGGACCGGTGAGCAGTGGTGACGTTGATTCGCAAGCACGCATGCTTTTCTGTCAGCTGCCACGGGCACAGCTCGTACTTACTATGATTCAGGTTCATTCCATATCAGTTGCACTTAGCTGACTTAGCTAGCAGCTAGCCAGCTAGCTAGCAGCAGCTAGCAGCAGCTGCAGATAGCTGGCAAGTAGCAGCTAGCTAGCCGCTAGCTAAGTAGCAGCTAGCAAGCATGTTGCAGGGCATACTGTGCCGTAGTTTGTTACCAGTGCATGATCTGTTCATTGAAGCCGCCATGGAAGACGACGAGTGGCAGGAACTCAGTCGCGAGCTTTTGGGTGATGCGGCTGAAACTGAGCCGGCTGAGGCAGCCAGGTCTCAAGAGCAGTTGTTGATGCCCGGCACAGGTATGGATGTGAGTGACTGGGACGGATTGGTCAATGAGCTTCTTGCTGGACCCACGGTCCCTTCGGTGTCGAGCACTTCTTCCGGCGGCAACAACTCTGGAAACCACTCGTGGCCAGATGTGTCAATGGATGGTGGCCATGGCCGAGATGATGAGGGCAGCCTGCCTGCTCATGATCCAAATTTGGATGATGCACATCTAGGTTTCAAGCCCTCCACAGAGCCGTGCCGCAAGCGCGGCAGGCCCCCTGGAATCTTTGGCAGTCGAAAGTTGCAAGAGGCGTTGAGAAGCAGACAAGCTTCGCAGCAAGCTGAAGACCCTCCAGTGGGCAACGAGCCAGGAACAATTGCTTATGCCAGGGAATTTAAAAAGCAGAAGAAAGCTGCAGCTATTCCAGCCGGGGCAGTCTCCTTGCCCTTGCCAGGCATGGCAACAGACATCTGGAATTCGCTGAAGAATCTGGCGTCCAGCGCAACACAAAAAGCTTTGGTTTTCACCGCTGCCGCTGCTTCCGCTGCCCGTGGTCGCAAGGCGGCCGGACAAGGGCAGATGTCTGCCGAAGAAGCGTCAGAGGACAGTTTTTTGCAAGCTGTTTTCGAAGACAAGCGAGACGTGTTGACCCAGACGCAGTTCGCTTCCAAGTGTGGGCTTCAGAAGAACAGATCTGCTTCCCTGTTCGTGTCAGCAGCTTCGGCAGCACTCGAAGGGGCTCGAGTTTTGTGGGGCACTTTCTTTCGTGCTCTGGACGCACGATTGGATTCAGAAAGTGGAGGCTGGATACCAGTCTTGTTGTGCCATCGCTGCCGATACGACGAGACCCCCACTCTGACCCGAATCCATGCACAGCAGTGTAAGGATATAGCGTCAGCCAGCGATGTGTCCAAGCATGGAAAAGTCGTTCAATCGGAAGGTTCAATACATGTCTTGCTGGCGAATGCAGACCGCAGTAAATTCCTGGAGTTCACTGGCAGGATCCCGACTACCTTACAGGTGGTCGAAGACACTTCTGCAGTTTGCCTTCGCCGAGTGCGGTGCAACGTGTTGGGTATCGATTCAATACCAGAGATGCTTGCCATCTCAAGCAAATTCCCGTGGACATTGCAGCAAGCGACGGTGGATAGATATGCTGCGAATTTTAGAGCAGAATCCGCACTCCTACACGATGTTTTGGCGGCGCAAGAGGATGGTGCGCCTTTAACCAGCAAGGCCACATTGCCCTGTGACATTCATCGAATCCACCAAGCACATTCCAGCTCTTTCAAGCTTGTCACCGAGGATATCTCGGGTTTGCTTTCTGCAAGTCTGTGTCAACAGGCTGGGAGCTTGGATGCATGGCGCGAGATACTCTCTACAGTTCTCGAACAGCGTTTGGTAATATACTACGACACACCGCCGCAAGGATGGGCAGCACAGCACCGCTCAGCAGTGCTCGACTTGTTTCTGCCAGCTGGGTCTGATGCCAAGGGCCGGCTGCAAAACGAAAGGCGGCGCTATGTGTTGCAAAACACATTGAACGGCTATATAGACTCAAAAGAGGTAGCCCATTACTGCAGTTTTGGATGCTGCCAGTCAAGGGAGGAGACCTACAGGAAAATCAGAAAATTCACAGTAGCTGCGTTGCTACCATCCAAGCTGCAGCTCTTTGCGAAGAACCGATGGGCCAAACATTTTGATTCTGTCTCCTTTTGTGGATTGTTGTCCGCTTACCATGGCTTGTTGGAGCCACTCCTGCTTGCGTACACCGGCGGTCCGATCAAAGCAGTTTCTGGACAGGACGACCAGGCGAGGCAGACGGTGGCAGAGGGCACAGGGGATGCCATTCTGGATATGCTCGCTGGTGAGATGGGCCTGGAGGTTTCTGGCGGCCATGCAGTTGCTGAGGCAGCGTGTGCGGTTGGTCGCAGTCCAATCTGCTTCTGAGCTCACTGTCACTAGTCACTAGTCGTCACTAGTCACTAGTCACTCGTCACTAGTCGTAGTCACTAGTCAAGTCACTAGTCAATAGTCACTAGTCACTAGTCAATAGTTTCACTAGTTGCTAGGTCACTAGGTTAAGATCCCCTTTCTGTTCATCAAGTTATCCGTTACGGTTGTGGCCTGGCCTGTTATCTCTAAATCTGAAATCTGAGTCTAAACGGTCTGTGTCCAGTTGTTGTGTGGCAGTCCGGGATTTGCACTTGGGCGTATAAGCTTACGTGTCTTGTCTGCGAAACATGTCACTGCATGTTGCTTTGGTGCAGCTACATGTTCTCGAAATGGTTTGCACTTTGTGATGTCTGTTGTGCATGCTTGTGCAGGCTGCAGCCCACGTGCCAGATGATGAGCCGGAGGCAGAGAATGGGCAAGGAGACGAGGGAGCTGTGAACCCGGCAGAGGTGGATTGGGTGACGTTGAATAAGCAGTTCAAGCAGAAGGCAGCCTTGTGGGGTGCTTCGCATCCGGCAGCACGGCTAACTTTCCTGGCCATGTCCATTACTGCGATGGCGCAAGTCATGCACCCGTTCCTGGCCATGAGCGGTGATGAGTGGGAACTGAAGCAGAGGCAACTGGCCATGGCAGGTGCGTGGAATCCAGACTTGAGTGATGACTGGGTCTGACTAGGTGACTAGGTCTGGGTCTAGGTACGGCTAGGTGACTAGGTCCATTAGATTCATTAGATGTAGATTTTTAGAGTTTCGATTCTAGATTATGGTCAAGGGAATTTTAGGCCCTTTAGGCTTTCTTGGGTAATGGAGTTATCGCGCGTCGACTTAGTTGTCGTTTGTTCGTGTCACGTTATCTGGTCTAGAGTCTAGAGTCTAGGTCTAGGTCAGGTTTAGGGCAATGTTTGCACTCCGTCTGTGGTAGTGTGTTGTTCGCCTTCAGGGGATGTGGCCCAAAACCAAGCCGGGACACCCAAACCAACGGACACTCTGCATCCTGTTTCTATTCTATCGTTATTGATGGGTGCAGATCAGCATGTGCACCGAAACAGTTGTTGTCTTGAATAGAACCCATAGAATCACTAATCATCAGCTGCTTTGTAGCGAGAAGCTATCCGAGCTTCGGTGTTCGCACTGCACGAGACACCCTAACTAACTTAAGTGGCAACAGCGTGTTTTCCTGGTTGCCTCAACGACACCAGATCTCTGGGTTTGTGGGCAGGCGAGCCGAGGACATACCGGTTGTTGGTGGCCGCGAGAGGGCAGCATGAGGAGAATGCACTAGCCGCGTTGCTGGCATTTCTAGACGAGACACCGCTGACTTTGTCGCAGGAACACTTCACATTGCATTTTCGTTCTCTTGCATTCAGACTATTTAGTCGCGTGGGATGTGCTCTGCACTGGTTGCTGCGTGTGCCGCATTGCGGCTGGCCCTATGCTCTTTTCAAGGTTTTGGACGGGGACACGACGGTCTTGCGCAACACGCCTGCATGCTGCCTGGATGAGCTAGGTGCGGCCTATTTGCAGCAATATCCTCTTGATACCTGCACGTACCAGCCGGGGACGGAGGAGTATGCGGTGCTAGCTTTCCTGGCAGAGAATTTGCATATAGACATCGCAGGCATAGAGTCGCGTCACGCGGCCCTCAGACGTCTCTCTTTGAAGAAAAGCTTACAAACATGGATCACGAACTTCCAGCACCTCTCCGCTGAGTTCACCTGCCGTCAAGTTGCAGCTTGCCGCAGGAGGGAGTCAGCTGGGACTTCCACTGCAGGGCAGCCGAGCGATGCAAAGCCACCCAAGAACCATAGAAGGAAGAACAAGAAACCCGGTACTGGCGGGGGTGGGGGTGGGCCATTTCGCGCCTATTTGCATGTGCATTATCGTGGCCAGAGAGGCACTCCAGACTTGTGGCAGAAAGCCGGCGAAGAATGGAGGTCTTTGTCTGACGAAGACAAGCAGCCCTATCGTCAACTAGGCCTGGCAGGCTTGCGTGCTTGGAGAGAAGGCTTCCGGGCGTTCGGCACCAATGTGCAGGAGCAGAATGCTGGCCCGAGGCCAATGGTATTGAAGTTTTGACGCTTCATGCAAGTCAAACAACGGATCCTGGTGTCAAGTAACGCTATACTGCAAAAGTCAGGAGTCCATAGCCGTAGGCCGTACGCCGTAGCCATAGTCCATAGTCATAGTGAATATAGTAACATAGTATTAGTATAATCAGTGTAGTCATAGTCCTTGACACATAGGCATAGGCATAGTCATAGTCATGTAGTCGTAGTTTTTTTAAAGCTCCAACTTGCCCTAAACTCCAAACTGACTCTAGATAGACTCTAGACCCTGCAAGTGTCACCCCTCAGGCCGGGAGATGTGGTGGCAGGTGGTGCAGTCGTGGCAGCAGATGCGCCGAGACACAATATGGAATTGGTGCCACAGACAAGCATCGATTTGAGAGATGAGCTCCGGAAGCTTACTTCCGAGCAACGGTCCCGGTCTCGACAACAGAAAGAAGCGGAGTGCCAGCAGATGGAAATCATGCGGGCAGCGGAGACACAACTCCTTGCTACATCCGCTGCGGACGTGGCGGTCTTCACGGATGTCCCCGTGAAGGAGACGTTCCAGAGAGGCCAAACGGATTCAGCTTCTGCCCGATTACAGCTGGAGTGGTTCCCGCCTTGTGCAG